ATCTCGGTACATTGGACGTCTCTATCTTTTCTTGACGACAAAACACTAATATTAATTAACCCCCCCCCCATATTAGAAGACCCCTTTAATTAATTAATTTTTTGCTAATTACGAACTTTAAGTAGCGGTTTTTCATGAAAATATGCCTGATTCTTAGCATTTTAAGCTGGAAATATTAAGAGAATGTGTTCACACTTCTAATGACATCCTTAAAACCCTGAAAATCACCGTAGTTTTCTGGAAAACCTTTTAAATTAAATATTAGGAAAAAATGCGGTTCTAAATACAAGAACCCCCCGGGAAACTTTTTACGCTGAAACATAATAGAAGACCCAGGATCTTTTATTGTGGGGAGGGGGGGGGGTAGCGTTTAAGTCATTCTATCAATTACTAAAATGAGCTGAAAGTAACCATTCAAAAATTCCATTAAATTTGATATCCTATTTCAAAATGAAGCCATTGTCTTCGTCAAGAATGCCAGTAGACTTTGGTGAATCTCTCAAATGATACCAATGGAATTCCAAACACTTCCAGAGACAGCTCTTGATTGGTCTATTTAAAACTTTATATTATTGCAATGCATTTCTTAATTGACAATTAGCGATTCGATCAATAGTCACTATGATGTATATTGGTATAAGCAATTGATTGGTATCTACTTGTTAGTATGAATGGATGAAAAAAGGAAGAAAGGAAAAATATCGAAAGTTAAAATTTCTGAAAATAAAAACAATGTGCAGGTAGTGTTGTTAAGAATTTTATTAAATAAATATAGAATAAATGTGAATATCACATGAAGAAGATAATGATTAAGATTGTTCATTTTCTTTTCGATTTAATATTTTTCACGATGATAATGATAATCCTTCTAAAAGTTCATTGTTAGTAGCATCTACATTATCATGACGAATGTATAATGTATCAATTCTCTGTCGAATAGGTTGTGTTTTTTTTGTTTTTGGTCGCATTTGCACATCACCTTTCAATTGAATTAATAAATGATTAAATCGATTTTCTCCACCTTGAATACATCTAATAAAGGCCCAACTATTGGGATGATATTTAGATATTCGTAAATTAAGGCGGTTGTGATATCCTACATAGATATTAGAAAAAAATAGAAATATATTTGTTTTAGCTGAGATTATAAACCTTCACAATTGTCATTTGTTCTAAGTTTTAATCCGTAAACATTCCATCTTTGAATATCAACATTTTTTAACCATTGATTCTCAAAATAATGAAATAAAGGCTTAAGTAAGTTAAATTTTATTGGTGATGATTCAAGAACTGATTCAGAAAGATCACCAAATGCTCGTAAAACTAATGACACAGGCATTAGAGCAAGAGCCATAATCTTTCGATAGATATTTCGAATTTCTTCATCAGCAGCATATTCAGAAGATAAACTAAGACGTTGAATGTTACGATATATTGCCTGCGTATAATGGAAATAGCATCCCACGTGAAGAGAATTAGAAAACTAGAAGAACGAAAGCACAACAGCGTTTGTTTACATTGAAATAAGATGATACATACTTCGCTTTTAATAATATTTGCTAAAGTTTCTTCAAAATCTGACACAATAGTATTCGGATGAAAAAATTGAGCAAGTTTATTACGTAATTCATGAAACAACAATTTATAAGTGGGTTTTTTTTATCAGGCAAAAGAGCAAGCACACAAACGAAAGCTAACAAATATAGAAATATTCATTTTTTTTATAAAATAAATTTATCTTTACATTGTTCATATTTTATTGCATGTATGCAATAAACTTGACTGAAAATCGAGGGTGATGATTTGAGAATCAGGAATATGAGGTGCTTGAAGTCGACGTGCTCTATTTAATGTACTACCTTAAAAAAGTCTTTAGATAAAAGAACATCAAGTTTTTCACTGGCTAATTTCTCTCCGAGATAGTAAAGAAGCAATTGATAATGTTGATAGATTGATTCGTGTTGCTTCTTCGTCATAAATTTGAGGAATAGGTGTTGTTTCATTGATAGCACGGATTTTCACAGCTTCTTTAAATTTTCGAATTTGTATTTCGAATTTATTTCATCGAGAGCAAGTCTTCGACAAAGGATGAAATAGGTGTTGCTAGAAAATTTATCATGAAATTTGTATTTCTACATAATTTTTATACAAAATATGGAAATTTTAAAAATTAGAGAAGTCTTCTATATATCAAGGTTGAGACCAAGAATCGTCATAAGAAAAGATAGCTAGTTGATTTCTTTTTCCTTTGAAATAATCAAGGCGGAAGTAACTGATTTCATGATTTCGTGTAATTTCAAATGATTTCAACTTGATTACGGCTATTGAAATCAGTTACTTCCCACTTGGAGATAATACTAGAAGAACTGGAAATAATGTCCATCCCGAATGCCACGATATTCCAAAGAAGTAATATTTTGGAATTATGTTGTCTCACATATATGAAAAATTCTAATACTAGCCCAAGGCTGATTATTTATGCATTAAAGTTTCGAACAAATCAGCTGTCAGGACATGCACCATCACTGAAGACGACTTTAAATATCTTCTTGATTTACCAAAATTGAAGTTCTGACATTCAGTTGAGACCTGAGAAATTGTCTGGCATGTAAGCGAATGCCCTTTATGAATGACATCATGACGATATTTGTAAAGGACATCTAAATGTTCCTTCATAGATTTCATTCATATATTTATTTTCTGAATCAAATTTATTTTCAATCTCGTTACATTGGAAGTCTCTATCTTTTCTTGACGACAAAACACTAATATGAAGTAACCCCCCC